GTATCCTTGGTTTGTCCTTCATTCATGCATCACTCCTACCTCTAACTCATTTTCAGCAGTACTATCTTTTCATCGTAAAATCCCCCTTTGAATGGAGCAGCACACAAATCCAGCATATGAGAATTCAAAAAAGCATATCGGAAGCATATGGAAGTGCCCATTGCACATGTCGTTACTTTCGTCCGACTCTAATTTAAAGATGTTTCTAGTTACGCTCTACGCTGGGGCCCGGCGTGATCTCCGTCGCTTTCCGGAATCCCGCCAAGGATCGCTGTGGCATCGCCTACGGCGTATTCCTGCCAGCAGTCTTCATATTCAACTGCTGTCTTCATATTCTTCCGGATTGATCGCGTACTGTCTCTATAGCGGTCTGACGTCCCTTTACCGTAACCGCTCACGGGCTAGCTTTCCTGTCCGTCCACGTATGCTGTCTAGGTCTGCTATTGTCTCCGCCCAACATGGGTACGATGCGTATTGCCTCGCCGCACACGTGCACGGATATCCACGATTTGCCGTACGCCTGAAAGGACCACAGGTCACCGCGAATCGTCGCGGGACAACTCTACTAGTTAGACAGCCGACCAGGATGGGTCTCTGTGGTGGGCTGAAGTCTAGTATAACACGTAGGCAGGATTAGTCCGTCCCTTGAGCGTAGGTGCTTTTATTAATTGTCAGACGATGACTTATTTTTGTAATATTTTCTGCAGTTTGTATAAGATGAATTTTACAAGTATTGGTGTTTACTTGTTATCCGTATCGTAATAGTCGGTCATTATTTGTTGATCGTTAAACATACAACATAAGATATTGAATGCAGTCCTAGGTTTTCGGTTTAGGGTCGTCTTTTGAATTTGCTGTAGGGATTATAACGGCCTACTATTTGTACAAACTTTCTCTGTGGCAGATCGAACGAGGCAAGCGTTTTAAGTCCTGTAGCGTACCACCGCACCGTGGTCACTTCTTCCCTGTCAGTATAGTGATGCAGATGGGAAGCAGATCTGCCCACGGCGCGACAGCACCATTGTCTCTGCTTCCCATGCGAATGAAATAGGAAGTATTCGGCAGCATCCCCTATTCATCTTTATCCTTCACTGCACGACGGTTAATAATTTTAAGTCGTATCACGATGATAAATCTCTCCGGTGTGTAGGGTATGATTGTTCCAGAATTGCATATGTGCCACGTTTATTGACGTGACATCCCAGTTAACCAACGATACATATAAATAAGCCAGATATGGGCATAAACTCGTGCTATCCCATTGAGATTAATAGCGTTAACCAATGAATGTATGAAAAAAGAAAGATGAGGAAGAAGGTGCGCAAGAACCCTACATAGAAGTAATTTGAAGCAAAGTTTTTGAATGAGTTCAAAGAAGAGTGCAGTTGCCTTTACGAATATTTTATTGAAAAGGGAGATAGCCTTCAGGGAAAAATAATTAGAGCGAACGTTGTTCTGGCCACTAGAATCGTTTTGAGTGAACCCTAGTCCTGGATGGGATCCTAGTAAACGTGTGTTCTCTCACCTGTACACTCTCCTCAGCGCTCGACGTCGCCTACTCGTAGCACATGTCGCGAATGCAACCTTTTTCATTTCTTGTTTGTGTTTGTTTGTCTTCTTGTGTGGCGATCATCGCCTTTTTTAAATAAATCAGTCGTTAGGTTTTCGACCTGGTGGATTTGATCCAGACTTGACCTACATAATGATCTGGCAGGATCAAGGTGGCTGTAGGAGCATGTGTGGTGTGAGGAGCACTTTTAGGCGTACTCAATATCGTCTCATTCGCTATTCGCTGAACTCGAATTAGATCAGGCCCACTCCACTTGCTCAATTCATCGTGTTAGATTATTTCAAGTGAATTTTCAAGCAATATTTTCTCTTGCCCTGATCAAGCTAATTCAAGTTCAGTTTTCAATCAGAACCAATTCCAGGCTGTCTCTCTTCAGGGCTTTAATCGGGCATTGCTACTCTCCAAATCAATCGGTCTTGGCGCATGTCTCATCGTGTTGAATTGTTTCATGTGAAAGCTTTGAAATTTGGTGATTACAGCCTAGTCTATTCATTTCTCCTCAGTGTCGGTTCATTTCCATCTGTGTGCAAGAGTCAAGACATTTTGATAGTTGATTTGTGGAATGTATTTTCAAGCTATCACTAACACAAATGTGCTGAGATGCCATCACAATTCTTGAAAGAACTAGCACGTCACTGAGTTTGACTATTTTCTCTTTCAATCGTGATCATCCCTCCCTTCACTGCGTTCTTAGTGGATCATCGCTAGATTTACATTATCTACAATGGCAACAAAGCAGTCCAGAAAGAACAATTGACAATGTAGGTTTTATTCTAAAAAATCACATATACAATTTGTGCGCAAGAGCTCTTGCTGCTTTTCTATACATATAAATACTCTTACAATTAAAAATTGGAATCACATAAAATCAATTTCTCTAAGCACTATTTGAGGTGCAAATTCGACAATGCAGCTGACCGTTGTACAGGTCTTTTTCACTGCTTCAAATGGTATTAGCTACACCTCTACAACAATGGAGTAGAAATATAAACGCCCGTATTACGTTGCCAGATCAGGTCGAATGTAATGAGGATGAGAACCACAACAACAGCTGTCACAGTACTTTAGCAAACGGCATGATAATACCCTACCTACATACCTTGCCAGCGACGAATCGTACGGCCACTTCGTAATGATGGCTACCGTATCCGCAGTGATTGGGGGCGTTCGCAATAGTCCATAAAAATCCATTACGACTGCTAACCCATCACCTTACTTTTTCTAGTCTATCAGTCGAATTTTATTTGAACTTTGAACCAACCAATTACAATCAAGAAGATAGACGCTAACTTAGTTGGGGTTGGACAGTTGCCGATGCCGGCTCCCCCTCCCTCCCTTTTTAACTACATGGACACCAGAACACCAAAATACACGTGCAAGCAATGGAGCAGTTTGATGGACTATTGCGAATGCACGCTCCAATCACCATGATTGCAGTAGCCGTCACTTTGAAATCGCTCCGCAATTTGCCGCGCGCGGTATGCGTACAATCTTATCGCCATGCTCGTCAAGATTGTGGCTCTCGTTTAGCTTCACTTATATCTTATTACTTAACTGGATCCATTCATAAGTAGTTTGGTATATAGTTATTTTTTTAGAAATGTTTGCAGCACCTTTTGGCGCAGTGTGCTACCGGGGGGGGGTGGACTAGTCTGTGAGGCGGTCTCTAGAATTTAAGCCTACATAGGAGGAACTCCGGAGAGAACGAAAATTGCTTACTGGACTTCCTCTCCTCTTCTAAGACTTAGCCCTAAAACTGAGTGTTTCTGTAACCTCCCACGGATGTGATGGGCTGCCCCCCCCCCACCTAGCCACACTGCGCTCAATATTTTGCCAATCTGCCTTACCGACACGACTAAACTATCAAGGAAAGAATAATAATGGTGCATTGTAGAGCATTGGAAGAGGTGAAATAGAAAGTGAAATTTTGCCACTAGGATTCGCCATTCTCTTGATCATTCCCATTGCCAAGAGCGGCTTTTTCGGCTTCGGCTTTCTTCCTTTCCTCCTCTTCTGCAATATTGAATTTAATCTTTGGAAGCTTCGATCCAGAGTTGTACGGTTAAGTATTACATTAGCAGGCATCACGTTCCTTCCAGCTGGCCTTGTTGTCGTGCAGGAATTTCATCCATGGTGTAGGAATTTCTAGTTTACCACAGTAGCTGAGCGGAAGACGACGAATCGCATTTGACGGAGTGACCGATGAGTTTCTTCTAAAATGAAGTTTCATGCTCAGCTATTTGACTATTTGAAATTTGGGTGCCATGTTGATTTATGAGGGAGTGGGTGATGACATTCAGGGAACGAGTCAATTGACACTTAAGATAACAATAGGTCAGAAAGGGGAAAGGACTATGGGGAAAATGTGAAGCGGAATTTGTGTTTTCTAGCGTTTTTATTCCTCTGAGATTTAGTATCACTACCATCGGTTGTTTTGGATGTTTTCTCCCTCACCCCCCCCCCTCAAACGAGCACTGGAAATTTGTTTACATAGCAGTTTATATTAGTTTGGTTCCCAAAAAATAAAAAGGATTTGAGCTCTGCGCATGATCGGTCCTTGTTGGTGTAGGTCCACCTGTCTTCTTTATGCGGAACACACTGGCGAAGTATATTTTTGATTGCATTCGGCTATGCAATAATGGCGAAAGCAGCAAATAGAAAATAAGTTTTTTTAAAAACTTCTAGAAAGTTACCCAAGTTATCAGTTGGTACGAAAAGCGATTAGTTGAGGTTTGGGAGCTCGGTTTGACGTCGGGGTAACCAGGATTGATCTTGGGCTTACGCAAGAATACGGGACAGGAATTTCGGGATAAATAAAAGCAATACCACTTGAGTCTTTCTATCCTTCCTGCCTGAGCTTGTTCCCTTTTTGTAATAAGAAGGAATGCAAAATACATTGCAACAGTTGCCCGTATATTTGCAGATTAGCACTTTTTGATCCTTGTCCGTGGTAGGAGACCCCACTGGTCACCAACCACTTCCGCCCACTGCCACTATAGTAAGTGAGAAACCGAAGTTGCTAACCAATAAAAACTAAAGGTATTCATGAATTGCAGCTGGATTTCCTAGCAAATCAATGTTGGTATTCCGATCTTTGCTCAAATTAGCAAGTCCAGGTCTTTATGATTGCGGAAGGATAAATTTAGGGCAAACTCACGGTCAGCGCGGGTCTGAGAGCTGCACTGGGCTTGTCGATTCGTTCGATCAACATTTGGGAGGGAAAAGACTGTCGCTCGGAGGCAATGATACCAATGGCTCGACCATTTTCGTCAACAGCTCACCGCACACCAGCATGGTTGGCTCGACAATGAAATCGATGAATCCTTAAAAAAAATAATTTAAATAAATAATTTTAAATATATAAATAGTTATTCACAATAATTCATCCTGCACTGCGGACGGTTTTTCTCCAACTTAGCCTTTCACCTTCATTCTTAGTTCTCACCATCGTTGTGTTTACTGTTGTTTTTTTTTTCTGCATGGGACGTTGGTACACTCTTATGAGTATATAAGTAAATAAATAAATAATAAATAAATAATATAAAATAATAATGGTAAATAAATAAATTAACAAATAAATTTGATACTAAGATGCGGCAATCTTTCACATCACGAAAGTGGAATTCATTATGATAAGGCAGTATTTTTTCTGTTGATAAATGCTGCGCTCGGGAGTCATCACAATTCGAGGCTAGTGTTGGGAGATTTTTTGGAAGCTACTCGTTTAGCTTAATAAACGTAACAAAAGATAATGTTGCATACAGGAACTGGTTTTTAACTTGATTAAAGGCCATTAAGACTTACATCAATCCCTCCATCATTTCTGTGGTGGTTATGCACCCAAAAGGATATGACACCACGCTCGTATTTCGACACAGCGCGGTAATATGGCCCCCAGGAAAGTGTTGTTAGCCATCGCCGCTTGGCGTCAGCTATGACTGCCACCGTGCAAGGTGGTAGTGCAGGTATAGGCGTGTAATTCAGATGACTTAATTGTCGTTCCATGACTGACAGAGTCAGCAATGGTGAGCGCAACCTCGAAACTCGTTTCGGAAGTGAACTTTACCGTGCTTTTCGCTGGAGAGGGTGTTCTATTTTCCAAGCTTTCGACGGTGTACTCTCTTTTTTCTTCGCTCGTTCCATTTCTTATCTCCACATCACTCAGTTTGAAGCGCCGTAATACTCCAAATCGAACCCAACATTCGCCAAGAGGAGAGGATTAAAGGACGAATTCACGATTAGAATGAAGGTCGAAGAAGGAGTAATTCACCTAGTTGAGGGACCCGCGGACCTCCTAAGGGTGCGGACTGAAGCGCAATTGGCACCGAAGGAGTTGACCTCGGCGACCTATTAAGGCTCAATCTTGGCGCGGTGGGCCAGTGCACGCCCACCGATCATCTGATCACTCGCCGCAGGTCTATACGTGGCGAGTGATTAGATAGCAGAGAGAGCGTAGTGTTGAAGAGGGCACAGCGATGAGAGTCGCATCAATGCGCAAATCAACGGGCAAGGAAGGGGTCCCATTTCTCGGGTTCTGGGCCGTTTCTCATGGTTCTTCCTTCTTTCGTGTACCACTCACCATCCCTAGGTTAATTTGAAATGGGTTGCTTTTTCATCGTGAATTCGTCCTTTAAAAAAATGGAAACTTGGAAATTGCAGATTCGTTTCATAATTTGGTGACCAATTGATTGAGATTAGTCGACCGATATCCGTAAATTCAATAATTTGTATGTAGATACCTAGCATTATTTCATACTGTAGGAACGTCCGGACAGACAAAAAAGGCAAAATGTTCCATCCTGTTCCGATTGTGAACATCACTGCGCTACCCGAGAATCAGTTTTCAGGCTACATCCCATTTAAATCCTTTTCGTACACTGTTTGGAACAAAATCAGCCACCAATTGGGGTAATATAAAATATTTGTGAAGTGAAAAAAGGAAAAGCTCACCAATTTGACTGTCAGCCACATGTACTGTATGTCGGTCACAAAGCGGAGAATAGGGCAATCCCATTGATGCCTCGAGATCACCTTAAAAATACGATTTTTATGAAGGTTTAATACGAGCAGACTGACGTCTTAGAAGACATACGTTTTTCTGAAAATAGAATTTCTCCCCAATTTGACTGTATTTTGCATATTTGGCATATCATTCTAGGGAAAAACCCATGGCGAACAACGGGGAACACGAAAATTGCAAGAATACTAACCTTGTCGGAAGAATTCTTCGAGCACACCGCCGGTCCACCGTTCATGAAGCAGCCACGGTTTTGAT